TAAGTCTATCTACTTTTCCCAATACAGAAAGCTGTTGATGAAATTTGTCTGAAGCATAGAAAACTTGGCCCCGTCGCTCTGCTTTATAACAATGCCCAGCCCCGCATAGCGAAGCACTTTTGCCAGAAAATTTATTGGAACCTTTGCCGCACTCTACTTATGCAGCTACTGCACAGTTATCCTTTCTCTTCACAATAATCCTGCTAACTGTGAACCAGCTCCAAAACAGGGTACAGGATCTGGTTGATGGAATCAGGGTCAAGCACCACTTCACGGAAAATTGCTCGCTCAGTGTGACCCCTCTCTGCGAGGAAGTATCTATACGACTCCCCTCCCTCGTACTGTCGTCATCCGGGCACTTGATTAGGGCGGCAGGGCGCGACGCGGCTGCGGCGTGTCACGAGCGCGGCGATCAGCTGTTTCCAGCCTATTTTAGCCATTTTCTCCCTAATTTACACTGTTATGGCTGCTTTTCTCGAGATTAGTTGTTCCTTGTCTTCACAAGGTAAATTATGATTGAGATTCCTCTCGCACAATCAAACAGATAGGCTAACAGTTGAACAGTCACCTGAAAAAAATTGCAAAAACACTCCATTGCAGAAACAAAAAAATGAAAAAAAACTGATAAAATAGAAAATACGGTGAAAATTAGGGAAAATGGCCAAATTAGGCTGGAAACAGCTGATCGCCGCGGTCGTGACGCGCCGCAGCCGCGTCGCGACCCTTGCCGCCCTAATCAAGTGCCCCAGATGCTTCTGGTTGTGTTTCGTGCTGTGAGAACGGAGCGCTGGTCTGCTGGATTTCCACCAAACTTTAAGCCCTTCTTAAAAAGTGCATACATCATCCGCTAACCTTTTTGTCAAATGAACAGGATTCGTGGTTTCTGGGTCTATACTATATACATCCAAATTGCCATTAAGCTTGCATGGCGGCTTCACACCAGGAATTATGTGAAAAATTTCAGGTGAGCCCGTGTGGGGCACCTGCCAATGGGCACAACATAGAGCGGAAACTCACATGGTTTCGAAATCTAGATGAGTTTCTCTTGCAGACAAGCGCAGCTGTTTTGCAGTAGGTCTAATATAGCGAAAATTCATCTGTTGCGGAAAATAGTCAAAATAAACGAGAAATTTTTTGACGAAAGCGGCGTTTCTTTCAATGAACACAGCTTTGTTCCGACATAATTAATGGCAGAAATCCATATGATTTTCAGAACTAGAATTTTTTTCTTCTTCCAGTAAGCACAACACTTTTGTTGCAGGTCTGCTATAGCGGAAAATCCGCCAGTCGCCGGTTTCGCTCCGAAAGATTGTTCCTGCTGCCGTGACAGGATCCCAACTATACCGCCCACACTTCCTTTGCGAAACCTCGGGAGATTTTCAATACACCTCTTTACAGAAGTGCTGATAAACTTCTCTGTAGAATGGGCCACGCACTTGTCTTCCATCTACCGCAGCGACGTTCAAATATGGATCTGTTGAATATGCCAGACAACGTTCTGGGCCAGTTAATGGGTATCTTGCCATATTTTTGAAAAACGCGACTTGTTGTGTGTTGCAGAATCATTTACAATGAATTAAGTCGTCATGGATTTCCATCTCACCGGAGATACTGCGCTTCACTGCAAGGCACAAAAACAAGTGTTTCAAAAATGTTGCCGCGGATTCGTTGATTATTGACATCTGCGCATACGAAAACCTTCCCTCTGTAAGCGGGTCATATACGACTCAGACTTCAGGATTCCGCGACGCTACGCTTAACCCTGGATGGAATAGCGTTGTCAGTACGACACACTTTTTTCCAATCCCACTGACCGCTCTCCTGGTTCCTCCAATCCCCTAACAATTTTTTCAATTTTCCAACAAAATTTCATCTCCTCAAAAAAAATTTCGTTCGAGTGGGGGAGGCGGGTGTTTTGCTCAGTTCGCGGTTGATTCCTGCGCAAGTGACCTCAAATACAATCTCACTGCCGAGGACCGCACGTTTGGCACCAAATTTAATCTCCTCTGAATGTAGTCGACATAGGAATCCAAGAACTTCTGAGTGGTTCCAGATTACTGATTTGTGGGAATTTGCCGCCCGATAATCAGGGTTGTTTTCTATTAGGCTTCTGGTGTCAAGATCACGTTCCCGTTCAGACATGCGTTGTTTACGAAGTGCAATTTTCAGAAAGGTCTCAAATGATCTAATAAATTCTGTCGACTTAGCAGCTGTTTGATGCCATACCTCGATCATGCTGGTGCAGCGCTGCCCTCTCAGCAGCAACTTAAAGAGGTGTTCGAGCTAGCGCTAGAGGTGCCACTGGCAAATCCACATTCTCATCACATCACTGCCACTACAACCCATTCGATGGTGCAGGATGCACGACTTCGGTAATCCTTACATTCTATAAAGCAGAAACTATGTATGTCGGTTTGTATGTCTGTCCGTCCGCAAAGTGCTTCACAGGATTAAACAGGTTAGTGAAAGGAGAAAACGACCGCTAGACAAACCGGGATTCGATCGGTGCAGATGTATCAATCCAATGTTTTGATTGTGATAACAGCATATACAGGGGGGGGCAAAAAAAGTCACTTTTCTTCATTGACTTTCGTGGCGCTATAAGTTACACTTCATAAAGTTTAATCGGACATTCCTACCACCGTATTAAAGAGCATATTAAATACTATTATAAAACTCCGCCACAGCCTTCTGGACGAGCGCCATCGAGAGATTCTGGCACGCGACCGCGATGTGGTGCCTGAGATCAGCGAGATAGTCGATTTCTCCGCCACCGTAGACCACCCTATTGAACTCCGCCCGAACCGGGTAACTTAAGGATTTAGGTCAGGTGCCTACTTGGATATTCCATCTTCTTTAGGTACTCAGCCCCTTCCATTCCAAGTAGGCGAGAGTTTCTCCAACGCCCTTCGATTCCACGTGGTGGCACCCAATGCTGTAGCAGTACAAAGTTTCCAAGAAGGTAGGGGCGGCGACATGTGGGGAGGATATTCTTCACGAGTTGCTCATGTAACCGCCAGCGCTCACCTTCAGTCCGGGGTCCACGAAGAAAATATTGGTCTTTCCATTCCAGGTACGTCCGGTCCATACCATCAACCCGCTCCTTGACGACTGCGGTGAAGATGATGTCCTAGACCGTAGCGACGTTGTCGGAGCTGCTCGATGTTGGAGGTCTTCCAGATTGAGAGTACTAGTCTCAGGTAGCTACCCATGGGTGACTCCACACTAGAAGTTTCGCAGCTGTTTGAGAGGTGACATGAATTCCAAAGGTCTTCTCCAGTCAGGCTGCGACTGGAGATGACTCGGCCACATAGAATAAAAAAAGGAAAACCGAAAACGGGAAACTCTGTTCTGCAGCGACGAGAGAGAGCCGTTAGTCGTCATGCGGGACACTAGCCCGCCATTTGCCATATTTTTGAAAAGTGGGGGGTTCCCAGTGGGCGGGGCTTTCATTGGTGGCGGAGAAAATGGTTGAAGCCTGAAAAAGCGAAAATCCGGAAGAAAAACCAAAATACCGCGATAAAGTGGGTGCGGTCAGAGGGGCGGGGCCTGGAGTGCTGTGCATGGTTATTCGCTTTGTGAAGGTTGGATGTGAAACGAACTACGTCGAAAAGTTATAAAAATTCAGCACCTACGTAACTTCATTGTTAAGTGGGCGGAGTCAGATCTGTATAGGTATCAATCTTTTTCAGTTGAGGTGTGTGTGCAAGGGCAAAAACGAAAAAAGTCGAGGGAGCAGATTTCATGAAGCATCTCGGAAAACCCTGTCCGCGCTGAGAAGTGGGCGGGGATAATGGGGCGGGCTTGCAACAGTACCTAGTGTGGTCTAGTTATCAACCACCTAATTGTAAGGGGTGTGTCCGATTTGATTTGAAAAGTGTCCGATTTGATTTGAAAAGTGTCCGATTTGATTTGAAAAGTGTCCGATTTGGTTTGAAAAGTGTCCGATTTGGTTTGAAAAGTGTCCGATTTGGTTTGAAAAGTGTCCGATTTGGTTTGAAAAGTGTCCGATTTAAAGTGAAAATGGTATATAACATATTTTGGGAGCAGCTCACTTCCGTGGATCCTTTCCGTTCCTCACCATGTGTAGGGTGAATGGGGTTCGTGCGCGCAAGCTAGCCACTTTCTCGTATCAAAAGGGTGCGGGAACGGAGCCAGAGGATAGTGGTACCCGGGCGCCGTTCCATACTCTCCGCCCACGCTGCCGCACAGCTAGCCACATGAGTAACCACAGTCTACCGCTCTTCTTGTCTACGCTCTCTCGCTTTTGGATGTTTTCTACCGCTGTGTACGTGTTTCTTTGCCGAATATTAATATCGACGCATGTGCTGCATATTACGGACAGCGCAGGGGAGCATAGAGGCAGTACTCCGGTACAACTACCCATAGCCTCGTTTCCGTGCGCTTTGAGTGACGAAAGTGACACCCTACTGTAGCTGCGGACCCGTTCACCTCGCACATGGAAAGGATGGTCCTCGGAGGTGAGTGTGGAGTTTGTATCTATCCAGTTTGGCGAGAGTACGATACGGTGCGCATCGTATGTGCTGAAGAACGGGCTAACCATGAGGCTATCTGATTTGCATTTACCCAACAGTGATATTAGATCTGCCCCTATTCTCAAAAAATAGTATTTTTGACGAACTGGTTTTATCAGACTGGCGCGGCTGAGTACCTTTTTAGCATGGCGGCAGTTGGGCTGGGCTTTTAGGGGGATGTCACCATCTTAAGACAACTGTAATCATAACCTTGCCCAGCACAATTAAAAGTGACATTTCTCTCAAATGAATCTAGTCACGAAAAACGGAGACGGTCCCATGTCCCAGTGAAGGCGCATCCACATCCTCCCCATCCTCCCCATCTGTGGAGGGTTGTTACTAGAATACCATGTACTGTGACGCATTTACGCACGGCGCTATCTTCTTTCTCAGTTCATGAAGATTGATTCGGTGTTTTTGTACCTACATACATCAACTATGCTACACTATTATTATATTTCTTTCATGGTTCTGGAGCATTTTGACGTGACTGCAGAAGAGTACGTGGTAGTGTTCACTGCTAATGCAACACATGCTCTACAAATGGTGGCGGATAGTTTCAAGTTCGATGAAATGTTATCAGCAGAAACGCGGTTTTCTTCTCTCCCTGGAGGAAGAGGTTTGCTACGAAATTGTCCCTTTTACGAATTTCGTCTAAAGCGGAGCCAGAGCACATCATTCCTCACCGAATCGAGGGGGAGGGATGTAGTAGACATGAAACAGGAAAATCACGAAAATCACGAAAGTCAACCACCTTTCCCTACAACGCCAAAACGTAAATACGACCCCTCCCAAAAATGACCAAGTACGACCCCCCCCCCCCCCCCTTTACAACGTCCATGAAGCGAGAAAAATCAACTATCAAAATAAATTTTTCCCAGCCCAAATACGACCCCTCTCCTGGCGGCCAAATACGACCCCCCCCCCTATTGGGGATTCCCCAACAACGATGTGCCCTGAGCGGAGCCAGACCTCTACGAGACTTTATATGCATCAGATTAGGAGAGAGGTGGTCAGATTGACTCAAACAAGAGGAGAGAGAGGGGGTAATGAGTCAGAGTGGTGCGAAAGAGAATAGTTGTCGTAGTTTGTGGATCAGGTGAAAAAGGAACAAATGTAGATACAGCGTTGATTACATTTTGAAAGATAAGAGCGTAGGTTGTAGTAAACCCTGAGAAAGGCAAAAGTGGCAGGGTCGGTGGGGTTCGTAAATATTGTTGGACGTTCCCTAGATTAGCGAAATTGTAGATTAAATGATTGAGCATTCTAACACTGAGCATTCGAATATTTGAGTTCTACTCCTTCTGCTCTTGTGAAAGCCCCTATCTTCTTGTACTTAACAAATTTTCCCTCACCCCTTACCCGAACCCTCAAAAATGTAGCGTGAATAAGATAGAGAGTTTTCAGGGCCAATGTTTGCCTACTTGAGGGACTCACACAACTCAGTTGTCGGAATGAGGGAAATCGTCAAGGAAAAAGTTTGTATTGATACTGAATTCAGAAACTTCACATAATCACTTGCTCTAATGGGGCATGTTCGTTTACTTTGAATGATGAGTGTATTTAGGTAGGACACATTATGTGCGTAGACAGCTGTGAAGATCTTTTCATCAGTACTGATTGTGGTCTCTTTGCAATGACTGCGATGAGTAATTTCTGTGGCAAAAAATACGATCTACACCTCATAGCCAAGCTGGAGCGATTAGGTATGCTTAGTTCAGAGCTCCATCGGTCGTAGACGGTGTTAATAGCTTGCCCAGAAATGTTCCAACGTTGTTTGAGACGGTCATCAAGGCTCTTATGCCGCGATTTTCACTACGGATACCCTGCGGCGATTGTGTTCCCATTATCTTCGCTAAGGGATGCTAGTAGCGTGTGCGTAATCTGTACAGGCAGGGTACAGCATGGGGATGTGCGAAATGGCGGTGTGAGTACCAGACGACCCCCCCCCCTCCCTGCTCTAACTGACAACCAGATGCATGTTCACACCAAATGGCTTCCTGAAATGGAATCTGGATTTTCGAAAGGCGGACTCTGCTCTAAAATCCAGGCAATAATAGGCTGTTTCAGCCTCATGCAATATGAGGCTGAACAACAGCCTCGCATTACCTACAATTTTGTCTTAGGATTCAAAATAAAACTCGTCGTTCGACAACCATGTATGACATGCAACTTGTAACAAGGAACACAATCGAAACAGCGACTAATGGTGATCATTGATAAGCTAAATTGGTGAAAAAATAGCCCCAAGGTCAGCGTGTCAGGCCCCAGATGTGCATTCAATGAATGGTGACGGGGAAATCATGAAAACATGCACGACACAACAAAGCGAAACATGAAAAATACAAAAAAATGCGGAGCCAAATGAAAAAATGGATAACCAGGCGGCAGTATATCGTTCTATACTTGGTTAT